GAGAGTGTGCCCAGGTCAATACCAGGCATAGATGTAGTTAAAAAACAACCCAGGTTTGTTTATAAAAGAGCACCGAATATCCGTGACCGAATAGTCAAAAATGTGTTAGAACCCCCCCCAAACTTTGAAAACTACTTTAAATTTTTTCACTGGAATTGGATTCTATAAATGTGGACGTTGTTACAGTTGTAGGAAAACACATTCAAATCCAAAACATAGAGAGTTCTTCATCAATCCAAGGAATGGTAAACAATATAAAATAAAACAATTTATGTCCTGTGACAGTACAGGAGTAGTATATGCTTTAAAATGTCCCTGTAATTATTTGTATATAGGCCGCACTAAGAGAAGTTTGAAAGAGCGTATGCAAGAACACATACATAATATAGAGATAGGATTCAAATACCATCACCTATCAGTACATTTCAAAACGCATCATAATCAGGATGCAAACAAAGTTGAATTTTGGGGCATCACTAAACATTTTTCACACTGGAGAGGGGATAATTTAGTACGTGAAATAAGTAAAAAAGAATCATTCTGGATTTATGAGTTGGGTAGTTTAGTACCAGGAGGATTAAATAAAGATTTTGATTTATCATGTTTCATTAGTGATGTATAGATTGGGGACTGTGTCCCGTGTCCATTCAGGATGCATGTGCGGACGTGAACATGCATGACGTTGCTATGGGGCCTCATTCTCACTGCTTCATCCATGAGCGCCTCATTGGCGTCAGTTTTTCCATTGCTGTTCGCGTTTTGTACATGCATTATGCCTGGTATTGACCTGGGCACACTCTCCAACCTATATATATATATTTTAGATTTTTTATACATTTGTGATTAAAGTTATTTCATTTATTATTTTTATTTTTATATTTATTTTTATTTTTATTTTTATTTCATTTTTATTTATTATATTATACTTGATATTTCATTCATATTGATTATCAATGTTTTTTGTAACATTGATTTAATTAATATTTTTATAATTTGATACTCTTATTTTGATTTGTATAAAATATGTGCTATGAGTTATTTCATATTCATTGGTTTGCTCAGCCCAGATTCAAACTAATGAGTTTTTTTACTATTAATTCATTATATAAATTTGTTAATACTTGTATTTTCTAAATATTTATCTGTCATATGAGTCATTCCATAAAGTAATTGATTCTTAATCCTTGAGCTGGCTGCGGAGCAGTGACGTTATGTACCCCTCCGGGATTGGTATAAGGTTCACAGTAATATTCACAATCCACCACATGTCTATAGGAAAATGGCTGCCCCCAGTAGATAGCCAACAAAATGGCGGAGCCGTGCTTTATAAGCCGACAGCTCACGAGTGATTGACCAATCAAATCCCCCTGATGAAGCCACGTGACTAGTGGCGTAACGCGTAGGGGTGGGACTGTTCACGTCACTCGGAGGGAGTCAGTCCGGATATCGGACCACGAGCGCACAGCTCCGACAGCCAGTGGATATTTGAATCAGTTGTACTACCACTATACGATTTATGTGAGTGCCACCTGTCAGCTTCACATTAAAAGCTTTTAAAACGATAAAGCACCATGTCAGGATTTTTCTTATATATGGAGGATCGCATGGAAATAAGAAGACAGTGGAGTAGCACCCAGTGAGAGGATATTCTTCTACAGCACATGTCGCATTTCATGGTTATCTTATCAACATCAATTCCTAAACAAGTAGGTTCCAAGGAGGTGAACCGCAAGCTTTAATATAGCCTAATTGCAGGCTATCTATGAGGTGAGCGCACATCTTCACTTGAGGGAGGAGGCACAAGCAGTCACCCATTTAAAAGATATTGAAGATTTTTCAGCACAAAGTCACTTATATTTTTTTTGTGGGACATTATTATTATACAATATTATTATATTATTTATATTATTTTCTTTTAGTTTTTTTTTTTTCACTGTTTTATATTTTGCTTATGTGAGTTGATTTCTACAGATTCACTTATTCAGTTATTTATGTATATCATATACACATTTTTATTTGTCTATATATATAGATTGGAAGGTTGTGAGCGCAATACTACATTTTTATTTCACGCTTTTTCACATTGGTAGTTATGTGCTAGAATGACAGTTACAGCTATGACTTGCAGAGGCATGATGGAACTTGTAGTCCTGCAGCTCTCAGGTTGCCTACCCCTTAGGTCATATATTTTTGGAAGATGAACCTACCATCTGCTTCAATGAAAGATGATATTTTTAAAATTATTTATTTTGTTATTTCAGGTGCTTATAAAGCGCCATCAATTTACGCAGCGCTTTACATACATATATACTTACATATATATATATATACATACATACAGTACATTCGAATTTTGCTGACAATATTTTGAGGACCATTGTTTTGGTTGTTGGCACAGAACAATGAAATACAACATTCTTTTGATTGGCTTCCTGCTGGCTAAATTAAAAGAAGTGTAATATATAATGCATTCTCTTTAACGTCTTGACCTCTGGAAGATTTTACCCTCTTCATGACCAGGACAGTTTTTGATATATCGCACTTCACTACTTTAACTGACAATTGCGTAGTCATGCCACACTGTATCCAAACAAAATTTGTATAATTTTTTCATACAAATAGAGCTTTCTTTTGGTGGTATTTAAGCACCACTGGGTTTTTTATTTTGCGCTATAAATGAAAAAAGACCAAACATTTGAAAAAAAAAAAAACAACAATATTTTTTACTTTTTACTATAAAACATATTCAATAAAAAAAATTGAAAAACTTTCTTCATAAATTTTGGCCAAAATGTATTCTGCTACTTGTGTTTGGTAAAAAAAAATCCCAATAAGTGTATATTGATTGGTTAATGTGAAAGTTATAGTGTCTACAAATGACGGTATATATACTGGAGGTTTTTTTTTACTATTAATGGCGGTGATCAATGACTTATAGTGGGACTGTGATGGGTGCGGTGGGCAATCTTACACTAACACTTTATGGGCACTGACTAACTGACATCACTAGTGACACTAATACAGTGATCAGTGCTAATAATATGCACTATCTCTGTACTAATGACACGGGGAAGAAAATGGTTAACATCTAGGGCAATCAAAGGGTTAACTGTGTGCTTAGCAAGTGCTGTGTTAACTGTGTGCTGTTTTTACTAGGGGATGTGATGGTTTTTTTCCCCCTGTTTTGTAGGGAGACTAATACTGCCACATCCCTGCTGTCAGTAGAGAGACCTGTGTTGTTTACCAACACAGACCTCTCCTTTCACTCCGACGATCAGCGGGTCCTGGCCATGAATCAGAGGCCGGGATATGCTAAGCAGCATCTAAGGGTACCAATGAGAGCACAGCCGGGTGATAAGCATACCCGGAGATAAACAACCAGGCACAGTATATTCTACAGTGTACGGTCGGCAAGTGGTTAAAGCAAATATACAGGCTTTTTAGTTTGGTCTTTGTATGCATCACTGTGGTACGGACATTAAACTACAAGTGTTTACAGGGGCAGGGACAGATGAAAATAGTTAATTGTTTTAAGTTATTGTCTGCTGAATGATATAAAAAAAAAGGTTGACATGGGTAAAATATTTTTAGTACACAATGGCTTAGCTTTTCTTTAAACAAATAAATGGCTAACATTTAATTAAACATTAAGTAACTTTTTGAACAAATTAATGATGAAAATGCATTCTGTTTTGGCTCAGACTGTTCTGCACATTATTAGTAAGGAGCACCCTCTACTGTTACTTTATGGTACTGCAGACACATACTATACACAGACATATCTAAAGGCAAAATCTTTTTTTTTTTTTTTACGTTTTGGAGAGAGTGGAGAGGGATTAGAACACCTGTCAGGTATTTATTGCTGTCTGTGTCCCCGTATGGAGATTCACCCTGTCTAGTTGTCCTGTTTTCCCTTATTACAGAGAGTGAAAGTAAAAGAAAATCCTGTGTATCATCACAGAGCTTACTCTTAATGCGGTAGGAAACTGCAGGAAAAGAAAAAAAAGTCCCCTGCAAGGTAATGTCATAATGTACATCTCCTAGATTGTAAGCTCCAAAGATCAGGCCCTCCTTTCCCTCTTGTATTGAACTGTATTGTTGCTGTATTGTCTCCCATTATATTGTAAAGTGCTGAGCAAACTGTTGGCGCCATATAAATCCTGTATTATAATAAATCCTGTATAATAATTATGCAGGACTTACCTTAAAAAGAAGTCCTCCAGCGGCACGTTCTCACCGTTGTAGAGGCTTCCATCTTCCCCTGGTCTTACTTCCGGGTTTGCAAGCACCGGCCGTATGACAGGCAAGGCAGAGATGAGGTCACTCCCGCGCATTTGCGTAGGAGTCCCAGGCCACGGCACAGTACTCTAAAGGAATGGCATGGGTATGCCATTCCTTCAAAGTGCATGCGCCAACTCTAAAGAAGAGAGAATATCTCCTAAACGGTGCACTATATTGCCAAAAGTATTGGTCGGCCGGCCTTTACACGCACATGAACTTTAATGGCCCCCCAGTCTTAGTCCGTAGGGTTCAATATTGAGTTGTCCCCCCCCTTTGCAGCTATAACAGCTTCAACTCTTCTGGGAAGGCCGTCCACAAGGTTTAGGAGTGTGTGTCTATGGGAAGGTTTGACCATTCTTCCAGATGCGCATTTGTGAGGTCAGGCACTTATGTCGGATGAGGAGGCCTGGCTCACAGTCTCCACTCTAGTTCATCCCAAATGTGTTCTATGGGGTTGAGGTCAGGACTCTGTGCAGGCCAGTCAAGTTCCTCCACCACAAACTCGCTCATCCATGTCTTTATGGACCTTGCTTTGTGTACTGGTGCGCAGTCATGTTGGAACAGGAAGGGGCCATCCCCAAACTGTTCCCACATAACTGGGGGCATGAAATTGTGCAAAATGTCTTGGTATGCTGACGCCTTAAGAGCTCCCTTCACTGGAACTAGGGGGCCACCCCAACCCCTGAAAAACAACCCCACACCATAATCCCCCCTCCACCAAACTTTACACTTGGCACAATGCAGTCAGGCAAGTACCTGGCAGCCGCCAAACCCAGACACATCCATCAGATTGCCAGACAGATAAGCATGATTGGTCACTCCAGAGAACACGTCTCCACTGTTCTAGAGTCCAGTGGCAGCGTGCTTTACACCACTGCATCTGATGCTTTGCATTGCACTTGGTGATGTAAGACTTGGATGCAGCTGCTCGGCCATGGAAACCCATTCCATGGAGCTCTCTACACACTGTGTACAAGTGTTGTGCTAATCTGAAGACCACATGAAGTTTGGAGGTCTTTAGCTATTGATTCTGCAGACAGTTGGTGACTTCTGCGCACTGTGCGCTTCAGCATGCGCTGACCCCGCTCTGTCATTTTATGTGGCCTACCACCTAAATGACTGAGTTGCGGTTGATCCCAGTTGCTTCCACTTTGTTATAATACCACTAGCAGTTGGCCGTGGAATATTTAGTAGCCAGGAAATGTCATGGATGGACTTATTGCACAGGTGGCAACCTATCACGGGACCACACTTGAATTCACTGAGCTCCTGAGAGCGACCCATTCTTTCACAAATGTTTGTAGAAGCAGTCTGCATGCCTAGGGGCTTGATTTTATACACCTGTGGAGTGATGGAACTCCTGAATCCAATGATTTGGAGGGCTGGCCCCATACTTATGGCAATATCGTGTATATGTCCATGTTTTCAACATAAGTGGAGATTCCAACATTGTGATATTCTATCCGGGGTATCATGAGCTGTATACTGTCTTACTGATTACTATGACATTATCACTTGTTTTCATGGCTGAAAGCCTCTTCAGAGACAAAAAGCCACCTGTCATTATTTTATTACTGTATTGTCTGGTGTATTTTATGTGTGACATCCTCTGGCCAAAAGAATTCTTGTGACTGGGACAACATCCTTAATTACTGAAATATGCAGCAAAAATGTAGCGAAAAAACTTGTCTTGTGTGTCATTCTGGTCAGAAGCTGGGCTAAATGTCCTTTAGCAATCCCCCTGGATATTGCACTGTGGTACCTGGCCCTTCAAGCTGAGCTCTAGGATAAGAAAATACTGTCTAAATACATTGGAATGTGTATTGTTAAGTCTCGTACACACGTTGAGAATATCGGGGGAATAATCGCCCATTTTTTTTTCTGCATGCTAGTTTCATATCGAAAATGAAGACGTTACTGAAGTTGTGGAAATTCTCATTATTATTATTATTATTATATGGTATTTATATAGCACCAATAGTTCACTCAGTGCTGTACATTACCATGGGGGACAATACATGAGACAGTACAATATTAATACAATGCAAAACACGAGGGGTTCGAGGGCCCTTCTCCTTGGAGCTTACAATCTAGGAGGGAGGGGATAGTGGTACGGGAGGAAAAGCTGGAGGATGGAGTGGTAGGAAGAGTGGAGGAGGTCGGGAATTAGCAGGGGGTGGGGTAGGCTTCCCTGAAGAGATGGGTTTTTAGGGTGTGCCTAAAGGAGAGGAGAGTGGGTGATAGTCTGATGGATTGGGGTAGGGAGTTCCAGAGGATGGGTGATGCCCTGGAGAAGTCCTGGAGGCGGACATGGGAGGAGGAGACCAGGGAACTAGAGAAAAGGAGGTCTTGTGATGAGCGGAGGGTGCGTTTTGGGTGGAATTTGGATATTAGGTCAGTGATGTAGTTCGGGGCAGAATTAATGACAGCTTTGTACGTCAGTGTTAGGATTTTGAATTTGATCCGTTGGGCAATCGGAAGCCAGTGGAGGGATTGGCAGAGGGGGGTGGCGGAAACGGAGTGGTTGGTAAGGTGGATGAGTCTGGCCGCCGTATTCAGGATCGACCGAAGTGGGGATAGCCTGTGGTGAGGCAGGTCAGTGAGGAGGGAGTTGCAGTAATCGAGTCGTGATATGATGAGGGAGTGGATGAGTTGCTTAGTAGTTTCAGGGGTTAGGAATGTGCGTATTTTGGCGATGTAGCGGAGGTGGAGTCTGCACGAGTTTGTTAGCGATTGGACTTGGGGCTGGAAGGATAGATTGGAGTCTAGTATGACACCAAGTACTCTGGCTTGCGGGGTGGGCTTGATGGTGGCATGGTTGGACGTGATGGCAGTGGGGGGGGGGGGGGGGCTGGGGGGAAGACTAGGAGCTCGGTTTTGGAGAGGTTCAGTTTAAGGAAGTGGAGTGACATCCAATCTAATAATATGTCGTTCAGTAGGCAGGTGATTCGGGCGGAGACTGAAGGGGTGAGGTGAGGGGTCGAGAGATCGATTTGCTTGTTGTCGGCATAGAGGTGGTAGTTGAGAGTGTATCAGTTGGCCAAGGACACAACTTTGGAAGTGATGTAATGCATTGTATTGGAATGTATTCTTTCCTTTCTGAGCCTTGGCCTTCCGATTTCATACTCAATAAACAAAAATCAAACATTCTGGTCGTACGAGAAAAATTTTCATGTGTGTCCCTTCGGATATTATCGCATGAAGGCCTCTTTCACACGGACGTTCCAATCTTGTTCGCCCGCCTGTTTTTCAGGTAGATTTGATCAGAACCTCTATATTCCCCTATGGAGTAGCAGGTGTCCGTTTACACCCGCCAGCATCCAATCTGATCCAATCCACCAAAAAGAGAGACGGATGGGGATCCGGTTTCCTTTCTGTCCATTGGATCAGATGGCAGTCGGATGGAAATGGACAGGTGATCTGTTTCCATCTGACTGCCCATAGAGGACAATGTCGTGATCAGCTCTCAAAGCTGTGTACTAACGATCAGATTATTGGACGATTGCTTTGAAAGTGGTGTTTTCTGTCCAGTTTTCTGATCATGTGTACTAGGCATTACATGACTTTTTAGGGCCTATTTATAAAACATTCATTGGATGAATGTAACACACACTTGTGTAGGCTGGGTGAATGTTCCCTGTATTTTTCCTAACAGATTATTTCCTATAATCCTCAGCACTGTCTTGTGGCCAAAATATGGTACAGCTTTCTGAAATACCTCTGTGAAAAAATATATACTGTAATTTGGCCAATTGACTGCATTCTTTTTCCACGAATTTACCACTCACTTGAACGTGGGTCTTTGAAAGGTCTGCTTTCAAAATGCAGGAAAAATCTGAACTGATGTCACCTATGAAGGTTCAACAGGGGTTCTGTTCATTGGTCCCTTTATCAATGGACTGGAAAGAACTCTACAATCTGTTTCACACGGACTTCAGCTTGTATAAGAGCAGTGTGAACAGCGAGCTTTGACAAAGCATTAGCAGAGCTTTCAGCAATCTTTGTTAAAGCTTTTAAAGTACTATTCAGCTCCAGTTTGTAAATGTTGAACACACATTCTAATAGCAGTGCTGATTGCCACTTTAATCAAGTTGCTAGCAGGCTTCAGCATGTTGTGAAGCTTGTTGAAAGCCTGCTGAAGCCTGCTAACAGCTTATTTAACTGCTTGCCGACCATATAACTTAAATATACAGCGACAGAGCAGGCTGTCCTGTGCTGAATCACACGCCAAGTATGTGATCTGCGCACTCGGGCAGGGGGCGCATGTGCACCCACCTGCACAGCTGTGCTGTGATTCATTACAGCACATGCCAATCATCGGTTCCCAGCCATTGATTGACTGCTGGGACAAGGTGATCGGCGCTGAACACAGATCTGTCATTGTAAACCACGAGTCTCTTGGGACACTCCACTGATACGAGGCACTATTCCTTGCACTGACACTAAAGACAGGGCACTATTCCCCCCACTGACACCAATGATGGGGCACTATTCCCCCCACTGACACCAATAATGGGGCACTATTCCTCCCACTGACATTAATGATAAGTCACTATTCCTCCCACTGACACCAACAATAGGGCACTATTCCTCCCACTGACACCAATAATGGGGCACTATTCCTTCCACTGACACCAATGATGGGGCACTATTCCTCCCACTGACCAATGACACCCTCCCACTGACACCATAATGGGGCACTATTCCTCCCACTGGCACCAATGATGGAGCACTATTCCTCCCACTGACACCAATGATGGAGCACTATTCCTCCCACTGGCACCAATGATGGAGCACTATTCCTTCCACTGACACCAATGATGGGGCACGATTCCTCCCAGTTACACCAATGATGGAGCACCATTCCTTCCAGTGACACCAATGATGGGGAACCATTTCTCCCACTGACACCAATGATGGGGCACCATTCCTCCCACTGACACCAATGATGGGGCACGATTCCTCCCAGTGGCACCAATGATGGAGCACCATTCCTTCCCAGTGACACCAATGATGGGGAACCATTCCTCCCACTGACACCAATGATGGGGCACCATTCCTCCCACTGACACCAATTATGTACATTATTTTACCCCTATTTAGTAAATCAAGCCCATGGCATTTGCTTTGCTTGCTTTTATCCGGCCCTTGGGGCACTCCACTGATACAAGGCACTATTCCTTCCACTGATACCAAAGACAGGGCTCTATTCCTCCCATTAACACCAACAATGGAGCACCATTCCTCCCACTGACACCAATGATGGGACACTATTCCTCCCACTGACACCAATGATGGGACACTATTCCTCCCACTGACACCAATGATGGGACACTATTCCTCCCACTGACACCAATGATGGGACACTCTTCCTCCCACTGACACCAATGATGGGACACTCTTCCTCCCACTGACACCAATGATGGGACACTCTTCCTCCCACTGACACCAACGATAGGGCACTATTACTCCCACTGACAACAATGATGGGACACTCTTTCCTCCCACTGACACCAACGATGGGGCACTATTCCACCCACTGACACCATGATGGGACACTATTCCTCCCACTGACACAATGATGGGACACTATCCCTCATGCTGACACCAACTATGTAAAAAAAAATTGACCCCCATTTAGTAAACCCAGCCAATGACATTTTCTGCTCCCACTGGCTACAGTCCAGCCCCCCCCCCCCCCAAAAGATTGAAGGGCATTAAACTGGTCCTATGTTTCAAAAGTTTGGAGACCCCTGTTGTAAACAATACAGAGCTGTGTTCACTAACAGGGGATCTTGTTGTTTAATTCATTCCCTTCTGAACAGCAAATAAGCACAAGATACTTAGTGAAAGCAGCACACATTACACATAGTTTTTTTTTTTTTACAAAGACGTAGCAGAATACATTTTGGCCAAAATGTATAAAGACATTTTCCTTCATTTTTTTTATTGGCTATGTCGATCTTTTTTCGTTACCGCAAAAGATAAAACAAACCAGGAGTGCTCACATATCACCAAAAGAGAGCTCTATTTGCCTGAAAAAAAAATGATATAAATTCTGTTTGGGTGCACTGTTGCATGACTGCGCAATTGTCAAAGTCATGCAGTGCTGAATAGCAAAAAATGGCCTGGTCAGGAAAGGGGTAACTCCTTCCAGAGGGCTAGTGGTTAAAGTGGCAATCAGCACTCCCATTAGAATCCGTGTTCAACATTTACAAACGCGAGCTGAATAGTACTTTAAAAGCTTCAGCAAAGCTTGCTGAAAGATCTGCAAATGCTTTGTCAAAGCTTTCTGTTCACACTGATCTTAAACAAGCTGAAGCCCGTGTGAA